TTATCTGTTGGGCCAAAAATTGTAAACATTTAATACAAGGCTCCTGATATATTGTTACAATAGCAGTTGAAAAATATTAAAAATACATAGGCACAGTTTTTTTTTATAAGCATTTAAAGATCAAATTTTGATAAAATTTATCAAAATCTCGAAAATTATCAATCATTGTAATTAATAAATTATAAAATGTTCAGTTTTTATAGTTAAGGATTACAAATTCAACACAAAGGTTCTCATAAATAGTTCATACTATAACCAAAAAATCTAAAAAATATATGAACACACTTATTTTTTACAGACATTTTAAATTCAAATTTGGACGAAATTACATATTAAAAAACCTAGAATAACTATTTTAGTTATTTCGTTGTGATTGAATAATATTATTCGTGGGTACTTGAAACTTCTAAAGTGTACTATTATATATCTATGATAGTATCACGGTTTTTGTTGATGTATAACGCGTTATACCTAATGGATATTGTGATATGATTAATTTGGAATTCATTATAGGTCAATTTTTTTAATACCATAGATAAGTATTTAATATACTGACATACCGTCACCGCTCAGAATCGTTTTTCTTATACAATGATATTATATCATTGAATTCAAATTTAATACCATCCATTATACAGTGACCCACTTGTAACCTACTGTACAGCAGAGCGACACCCACTTGCCCACTTTTTTTTTAATTTTTAATTTTTAAAAATGTTCGATTTTGAAAAACTAATTATCGAAGTTGAGTCAAGACCATGTCTGTGGAACAAATTTCCCAACTGTTTTTTAACACGTCGGGAAAAACTAACAAAAAAATGGAAAAATTTAAGTGGCACAATTATGGGGAGGTGGTATTCCACTGAAATATGTGTAAAAGTTAAAAAAAAATAATGTACAGTGTTTTCAGTAAGTATCTTTAAGTTGTAAGTGCATACAATAACAAAATAATTCAAATATTGTGTCGTTATTAATTATTTTGTGAATTGATGAAAAAATATCACAATATCGTCGTTATAATTATTAATTAAACTAGTTCGTTTATGAACGAGCTAGTAGTACCTTCTTAATCGTTCATGAACGATTCGTTGATACGGAGTAATAATTATTGAACTAGTTCGTTCATGAACGATTCTTTGATACGAAGACGTATTCATACGAACGAATCGTCAAATATATGAACGATGAACTAGTTCAATTTAGTGAACGATGAACGACTGAACTAGTTCACCTTAATGAACGATAAGTCCCATCTCTAAATATATAATATTTTTATGGCGCGGTCGGTGCATACGAACTTAACAATGAATATCAAAAAACCCGCGTCACGAAGGACTATTAAATTGAGACACTGATGAATGATGATATTATCACAATATTATTATCGAATACCGAATACGTAAATCGTATATATTATAATTTATAAATTCATAACATAATAATACTTACCTTACCTTTACCTACCTATTACAATTTAGTTTGGGATTTATAAGTTTAGATTGATAACATAGCAATACATGTAAATGATGCAATCGTAAATACTGAATAATGTCTCGGAAATTTGAGTTTTTCCCGTATAAAGTGTACCGCAGGACGCAGGCGTGCAAAATATATTTAGTACCTACGTCAAACGAATATTATTGTTCGTGCATAGGTATACAGATATTTTTCGTACTGACCGACCGTTTACCACAGTCGCAGTTGGCGACAGACCACAGTCCGATACTACTGTATATAGTGTACTGCAGTCTGCAGTCTGCAAGTGTCACGTATGATGTATAATATTTGCGTACCTATTAAATATTTTTGAACCTATACGGCTATACGAAATTATTACGAAATACGAATATTATATTACGTATAATAAAAATTTATGTGGATAAATTTTAATAAGCACATTGGTATAGGTACATATCCAACATAGTATCCAAATTATGGCAGTATTTAGATATTCCTCTTTCCTATCAGAACACTAATTCAATGTCATAAATATGAAATTGTATTTTTTCCATTTATTAAATTTATAAGATTCATTTTTATATTTAATAATACAAATAGGTATAACCAGAGGCGGGCTGAAGAGCTCAACTTTGACGCAGCTGCGTCAATGTTACAAAGGGGTGGTGCACTGGTGCCACCCCGGCCTATGGCTCGACTTCTTGGTTCTTTTGACCACATTTTACCTATCGGCTATCACCTATGCAATACATAAATAGAAATAATGTAGTAAATACATTATGCAATACACTGTGTCTGGCGTTAGAGAGGACGAGACACGCAAACTCCGTCTGTGCCTCGTTGGTACTATTTGTAGCATTGTAGCAATGTTATCTTAGTCACGCAATTCTTTTCAAACACTTTAGTAGTTGGCGATGACGTGAATAGCTATTTTAATTTTCAGCCGCCTTATGTAAGGGGCCCGTGTTAGTGCGTATTAAAGATAATTTTCTGAGGCCTGTACCTCAACATGAAAGGGTGGGTCGAACTGCCGTACTTGTGTAAGGCTATGAGAATAATAAAATTTATTAAGAAAAAACAAACCGCCGGAGGTAAGGATTTTAAATTTGAATTACTTATAAGTTATAAGTACTATACGTGGCACATACCGCCGCGGTGAGCTGTGAAATGTGTCCTGTAGATTCACAGCCTTCGCCTGACAGCCAATATGGCAGTGAACGAGTGAACAAAAGTCAAAATGCGACGTAAAACGCGGTAAAAGCAGCTACATTCAAAAATTAATGAAAATAGAACTAATACGGGTACGACGTTATCTGTTGAGAGTTAGATACGTCTTGTGCGTTGTTTATAATTTCACAGAATATATCAAATATAATAATAATAGAAATATGAATTGATTGCCCATATCCCCAACCGAACGACCGTCCGTCTGAATCTATTAATAAATTAAATACCAACAATTTTTGGAAAATCTGATCATAATAGATAACATCGCGTAATGCGTATCCGATAACGTATCCGTATAACGAACACCACCACCACCACCAAAATTCACAACAGAGTAAATTAAATTATTTACTAATAGCTATATAGTATAATATATTAAATTTTTTTCCCATGTTCATTATATTGTACTCTTATTTCTCTTTTTATTGTTCATTCCCTACAATATCTCCGTATTATAATCATACCGATGTGATATTGTGAAAAGTTTGTGCATATTTTACTTTATTATCTTAAAATAATAACTTAAATTAAAAAAATTGCAAATAATTGTGTTACGTGTGGACGTATTAGAGATCGTAATATGAATTCAACCAATTGGAAGAGACACACTAATGCTTGTGCATTAAAAAACATTACTAACAAAAGGAAAAAAAAATTAAACGAAGTACAACTGCAGTCAAACTCAATTCATAATTTTTTTAATAAAAGGATAAAAATCCAAGCCAATAACGGTAAGCACTAATACTTCTTAGTTTTTAATCTAATCACATTTCCCTGATATACCTATCCTAGATACAAACTTACTGTTTTAAAAAAAAAAAGTTTTTGGTAGGGTATTCAACATTTTTAATTTTTTAATATAATAATAAATTGTAAAATGTAATTTGGTTTTTCTAGTATCTGGTAATTCAAATTCATTGGACCACAGTATTGCATATTATGAGTTGAATTCGATTGTAGAATTCATTGGACCATAGTATTGCAGATGAGAAAAATGAGTTGAATATTGATCGTAGTATTAACTTGAACAATGATTTTGTAACATCTACTAATTCAGAAGGTAATTAATTAATTTTTTATTAATAGGCTATTAATTTATTTTGATAGGTTTTAAAAAATATATTTTTAACAATTAAAAAACCATAAGAAAATATTCAGCTTTTATTATTTAAAAAAAATTTGTTATTAATGATTATATATTATATTATTATTATTATATGCATACTTTTTTTATAATTTTATCTATTATTATTACTTCAAGTATATTTTCTAAATCAAATATTTTTTAATTATATGTTGATGATATATTGAAAATCTAAATTAACGAGATTTATTACACATTGAGATTTTCATTATTTGTGTATAAAATATTTTTATCAAAAATGTTACTTAAATAACCCTGCTTGAAGCAGATACTGCATTGGTTGTTACCATTTTTCGAGTTAAAAATTTTATTTTTCGTTAATACCCTGTTGCTAGCTTCTCAAAGTGTTAAACTTACTGAATGTAATATTTTGTAATAATTTTTGTTAGTATTTAGTTAATTAGTGTTTGTTATTTAAAAAGTAATAGCTGGAGAGTTGTTTAAAATAAGAATTCAATTACCTACTATATATTTGATTTAATAAAATTGTATTGATTATTTATTACAGAGATACCCATCATAGAAACAACTAAATTTGACAATGATCCTGCTTATATCCCTAGTTCTATATCTGCTGAACTATTGAGTTACTTCGCCAACCTTGGCCCTTGCCAGCCAACACCAAATGATTTACCCCAACATTCATTTAAAAAAAAAAAAGACTGGAATCATATGAATAGATCTTTCCACGAGTCTTATTATTACAAAAATTTGGCAAACAATAATAAATCTAGAAGACTTTGGCTATCTTATTCACCAAGTAAGGATCTTATTTTTTGTATTTCCTGTAAACTTTTTGGTTTACCAAAAGCCCAAAAATCAAATTTAGCTTTGAATGGTTCAAATGATTGGTCTAATATACAAAGAATTATTAATAATCACGAACACTCACATAATCATATACAGTCAGAAATCAGTCGGGGTCTATATTTACAAAGTAATCGAATTGATCTAAATGACCAATTAATTATATGTGCTAATCGTGAAGTGGTTCGAACTGTTATTGAGGTATTGATTTTTGCTGCTCGACAAAATATATCGCTACGAGGACACAATGAAAATGTTCAATCATTAAACCGCGGAAATTTTTTAGAACTATTAACGTCACAGTGCCCCTGTTATGATGCATCTTGAAAAAATAAACAAAAGTAATAATAACAGATTAACATGTATGTCTTCTAAAAGTCAAGAAAAACTGTTGAGTATATTAGGTGAAATGGTTCGAGCACAAATATTGAAAGATGTGAAAAATGCTTGCCATTTTGCTGTTATAATTGATACCACTACGGATATATCAAACCAAGAACAGTTTACATTTATAGTGAGATATGTTAACAGTACTGGTGTAATAGAAGAGCGATTGTTGGCTTTAGAAACTGCAAGTGATGCTACAGGACAAGGATTATTCAATACCTTTTGTACAATAACAAGTAAATATGACATCAACTGGGAAAAACATCTGTGTGCACAATCATTCGATGGTGCAGCATCTATGCAAGGAATTTATTCAGGTCTACGAAGTTTTATTCAACATAAAAATCCTAGAGCAATTTACGTTTGGTATTTTGCCCACATATTAAACTTAGTAGTGGTAGATACATGTGATTCATGTACTGATACTAAAAATTTTTTTGGAGATGTTCAATCATTAGTATTTTTTCTAAAAGCTCGCAAAAGAGCAGCTGTTTTTATTGAATGCCAAAAAAAAATGTATAAAGATGAGAGAGTTTTGCGATTGAAAAGTTTTTCAGATACTCGATGGACCTCACATGGTAAAGTTTTAAATGTCATATTTTGTAAATATAAAGCATTGATTGATGCTTTAGAAGTCTTACAAAATTCTAGTGATAGAATTACAGCATCTAGTTCAAGGACATTTTTAAAGATAATTTCAACTTTTAAGTTTGTATTATGTTTAATATTTTTTAAAAATATTTTCATTGTGACTACACCACTTTCTAACTACCTACAGTGTAAAACTATTGATTTCTTTGAAGCAATACAATTAGTTAATGTGGCAAAAAAAAAGTTAAGTGAAATGCGATCAGAATGCAAGTATGAAGTATTTATTAACGAAGTTAAGGAATTTGCGAATTTTAATAACGTACCAGAAAAAGACTTTAAAGAAATGAGAAAAAGGACGAGCAAGTTACTTGCAGGAGAAACTCCAGATGATAATTCAAATGTTTCTTCTATGGTTCAATTTAAAATTAAGACATATTATGCTGCTCTTGATAAAATAACAATGTCATTACATGAAAGATTTAGTCAATCACAAGAAATACTAAAAGATTTGGCAATATTAAATTCTGATCGTTTAATGGCGAAAGATTCACAAAATCTGCCCAGTGATTGTTTTCAACACATTTCACTGTGGCTTGAAAACATCAATACTGACCAACTCAGGACAGAATATATTCAATTTAAAAATAATATTTATGAACTTATAAATGGATTAGAATTACCTACTGAGATTCATGACGACACTAGCAAAGTACAAAATACTGAGATTGATGAGAATGATGATTGTTCAAGTAATGACGGAAATTTGAATATCATGGATGAAAATATTGATTTGAATAAAAATGTAACTATTACAACTATAATTCAATTATTGACAAAGTATGGACTTGACTCAGCCTTTCCTAATTTGCACGTTGCGTATAGAGCTCTGGCAACAATTCCAGCATCATCTGCATCAGCTGAAAGATCTTTTTCAAAGGTAGTAATGAAGTATATTGTCTTTATAAATTAGTAATACACAATAAAAAAAATTATTTAATAAATTCTAAACATGAAATTCTAGGTGAAATTGATTAAAACCAGACTAAGATCAACAATGGGGCAAGGTAGATTAGAAAGTCTCTTACTTCTGAGTTGCGAAAGAGATATTCCAATAGATATAAATATTGTTATTGATAAATTTTCACAGTCTTCAGATCTCTTAAAAAATGCATTAACTTTTAAATAATACTACATTTGAAGTTTGTCATAAAAAATGTCTGTTATTGTCATTGTTATGACTTGTTAATAAAGTTCTTAATTAATTTTTTAATTTTTTTGTATAGTTTTTATTGTGATAATATTTTTTTTATATAGAGAATAGTATTGTATATTTGTATGTATATATGTAATGTACTTACACAATAGTTTTAATTTCAAACTCATATGCTTATTGACCACTTAAAAACTTGCCAAATATTTACTTTAAACATAATACATAGAATTTAAGAAAGTGTAATATTTTTTGTATCATAATACGAGTAAAGTTGAAAACTGAGGGGAGGAGAATTGCCCCTCATATTTGTGAGCCTTGACATTATATTCAAGTCAGAATCGGTGGGGAGGTTTACCCCCCCCCCCCCCCCACACCAAAAATTTGATCTAGGTACGTCCCTGACTAGGAGGTGGTGGTGGTTGTATATACTAAAATATGAAATTGCGTCATTTAAAATTTAAGTTCAGTCCGCCACTGGGTATAAAAAATAATTGTTATAAGTATTATATTTATATCATGGTGTATCATATTTTACTTGGTGTATTACTCTTTGATGGCACCTAATATAATATATTCCTTATAAGTATACGATTTATATACCTACGAAAAACCTTTTATTATAGTTATTAGCTAAAAATATTATTTAGTATTAATTTATTAATATGCATATACTTATACTCAGTGGCGTACACCCCCAATAATATACAGGATAATAATAATTATTATAATAACAAACTCAAAATGATAATTAAGTAAATAGTAAATTGTAAATACATATCGATGGTCAAAAGGCCAATTGTCGTAACCCTCACTTTGGTCGAAAATGGGATTATCATGAAATATTAAATTTCATATAATTTTCTTGTGTTTAACCAATTGTCGTAACCCATCGTACTATTTAACTACTATAATTTTAATATTTATCATTTATTTTAACGTCGTAACCCATAATGATAAATAGTGACAAATGCTGTAAGCCACATAAAACTGTTATAATAAGAAAACGTAAGCCTCGAGACTTTTTTCTTCATTATGCCACATTGTTGTAACCCACATGCTGAAACCTAAAATGTTAATCAATTAATATTATTCAAAATTTGTTCGTATATGGAATAGGTACACCAATAACATAGGTAGGTATTGTTAATATGAAATTATTGAATAATTAAACACAAAAATGTAATACTATAAATTATAATATTTATAAAAACTTAATTTTTACGTTTAAAAATAAATAAAATAAAATTCGCTCCTCGAATGACAATAAAAAAAATAAAAAATGTATAACAACTTGTTTTCATTTAAAAATAAAATAAAATTAGTTCCTCAAGTAATAATAAAACAAAATATAAAACTATTAAACCAAGTTGGTATCATCCTCGTCGTCCGTTTCTGCCAATGCATCTATAACTGTACTTTTCCTCGACATAGATAAATATTCCTGGTGATACCTCGGTGGGATCGCTTTTGTTTCACAAAGTTTTACCAGATCTTTATACTTTGCTTCAGATATTGGTAGTTTTGAGTTATACGCATGAGTCAATACACCAATTTCATTTCTTTTTCTTTTTGTTCTTTTTTCCGTAACATTTATAATTTCAAACTCAGCGTCCAACTCGTAACCAAATGATATTTTCACATCTCTCGATTTTGAAAAATATACTTTTTTTATATCGCTGAATTTTTTTCCATTTATTAAAACTATTTTAGGAAAGATTGCATGCTGTAATACTTTGAAGTCCATAAAGTCATTATGACTCATCGTATATACGTCGTACGGTTTTGGATTCAATCTTGCATTTACCATAATTGTCGGCCATTCTGAAGGTGCCCAAACAATTTTATTTTTTAAATTTGATTCTATGGTAGCATGCACTGAATCAACAGGCATGTAAGTATGACCAGGTTGCAAAAATGTAATAGTTATTTCCTGGATATTCTTAGACTTATTTAAAATGAACCAAGATATTGCCGATAATGTTTGATGATTTTTATTTTGCCCAGGACAGGAGTCGCAATATAATGACACTTTTTTAATTTCTGCTCTCTCGTCTACAATTGTTAAATACTTGACTATTACCGAACAAATCTCATTAGCTCCACGTTGACCATTTTCTTCGCCCCAAATGAAGCAGTAACCATTTTTTGTACCACTTTCGTAAAATGATTCATTATAGATAGCATATTTTCTTGAATAGTATAATAACATGCTATTTCCGTGAGGCGTATTGAGGACTTTTTGTAGGTCGAAACTGGTGCATAGAAATGAATGATCTTCTTTACTTTTTTTTTGATCTTCTAAATGTATATTTTTAGAACTTTCAGCATCTTTTAAATGTTTTTCAAATTTCAATTTTTCTTCTTCAGTTTTATTTTCATCTGGAATATTTTTCATTTTTTCACACGTTCCACATTTATCTTTTTTCGGGGTGTGTATTCCAATATTAAACTTGGTATTGAAAATATTTCGAAACACTTGTTCTTTCACATACTCTATTTTCTTATGTTCACATTGTGCTTTATAAATTCTATATATGTTTGTAAGATTTTTCATTTCTGGTAACAAATATTTACGGGCAGAACTGGCTCTACAGTAGTGTGACGGAACTGCTGGCAAATTTTTGATAAAGTTATCAACATTTGCAAGCTTTTCAGGAGCAGTTTTATTCTTCGGTGGATGATTTCCTCGACCTTCTGTTTTGGACTGGTTTAATGTCTTATTGCGATTTTCTTCAGTGTATGTCAAAATTCTTTGTGTAATATTTAACGTGCTAATCAAAAACTGTTGGCAAACTTTGGTGAACTCTCCGTCAATTGGTAAGTAATACGATTTAGAGCAGGTTCTTCTGCTTATATCATTTTCAGTGTATTTTCTTTTTTTTTCATGAGTCACTACGCACGATACTAAAAAATCTTTTTGTTGAGAAGAAGGTAAAGTATAAAAATTATCAAAAATTTCTTTTCTAAATGTATCATGAATTGCACCACATTTATTCTGACATTTCATTTCTGAACATGGATTTGGTAATAATACTTTGTCATCAATTAATTTACCTTTTCTAGTTTTATAAGATTTTCCACTTACCCTATTTATTGCATTTAATTTTCTTTTATTACCAGTTCTTTTTTTTCTCTTTCCACTTTCACCAACAAGCAATTCTTCTGTTTCACCATGAAAAAAAAAAAAAAAAATGAAAAAAATGTTACCTAAAAATGCATAGGTAAGTCAAAATATTAATATTATTAATGGATATTCATTAATAAAAAAAAAAAAATTATAGTTAATTTTAAATAATATCTTGGATTTAAATGTCAAAAATACAAATAATATGCCCTATTAAAAAAATAATACTACCTTCAATGTATACATTTGGCTGATCAGTGGAAACTTCATTATCGTTCAGTTGAAGTACATTTTGACACTTTTTTCCATCATCTGATTGAGTTATATTCGTTCCATAACATTCGTTATCGTCAAATAGTTTGAGTAATTCATCCACGTCATTCATTGTATTTTCGACATTTTCAACTATTTTATCTTTGACAGTTGTAGAAGCCGTTACATGATTTTCAACCTCACATTTTGGTTCTTCCATAATAATAATATTATTATCAATATTATTATCATGCTCTGGAGCAACTGAATCCGTTTCATAAAAAATCGGTAGTGAGTCCAACCATTTTGCAACCTTTTCTCTATCTTTTGAAATGGTTTTATGATTTTCACCATCACTTTTTACATGTGACAGTATTTTCCATCCTCGGCGTATTCTCTAACATAATAAACATTACTAACTTTATATTGAATATAAATTCAGAGCTTGACTTAATAAAATTATTTTAACGTTTAACTAATTATTATTTAATTGCTATCAAAATGTGTTGAAAAATAGTATTTTTACTTACATGTGCCATCGTTTGATTTGAATCTGAATTCAAACTTCAATAGTCAATACACGTTTACGTCCGTGTTAATTTTAAATTTTGTGCCGCTACAACTGCTGAACTGCTGCGTAAATACTAATCACAAGTTGTGATTCACAACTCACATTACAACGAGTAAAAAACACATAAATGACAAGAAAACCGAAACCTACTGTGGTTGGTTGATCTAATATTATTATTGTTATTATAAATTAATAGTAATACGTATATTGAATATCCTTATCAAAATAATATTATTATTATTATTATTATTATATTATTAGACATTTTAATCGACTATCCACTAGCTTATCGTTTTAAAAATAGATATCTGATCTAAATTTAAATAACTATTATGAACTGTAACCAAAATGTACCGATGTCAAATGTAGTAACCCTATTACAAAGCAATACTATTAATAATGCAATCATAAATATTATGTGGTCAAATGCTGTAACCCTCGACTAGGTCATGAATAACACTAAATTAACTATACAAATAATTATTACAAACTTTAAATTCTTAAGAAAACTAATTCTTGGGTATCACAGGAAAAATAAATAATTATCTAGTACGATAAAAAATTATTATGTAGGTAAATAAAACGTTTAATGTGTCTATTGTAAAATTATGTTTTTGTGGGTTACGACAATTGGCCTTTTGACCATCGATATTAATAGCTACCTATTAGTAATAATTTAATAATTAGTTAATATTATTAACTTATACACGGTTATGAAATAATCCTTAAGACAATATAATTATGATGGTATCTCGTGTATTTTTATAAAATTTCAGATATGATGAAGCTTCCCTTGAGTTCCCCTTAAAAATTATAGTAAGGGTAGGTACGCTATAAAATGTAGTACTCCATCCCCGCCTGAGACCACTCACAATTTCGAGCACTAGCTGGGTATATATTATAAAATATAGGTAGGTTACCACAAACCACAAGGTACCTAAATATAGTACGCAAATAATTATGGCACAGCTAAATATATTATATATATATATAAATAAAATGAATATTATTATGAACACAAATATAATATTATTCTGTTATTAAAAATATTATTAATAATACAGTACATTAAAAATAATAAAATATTATTATTAATTAATTACAGTAAAAATATTATAATAGTTTTGTAGTAGTAACTTAATTATAATATTTTTTAAATAACGTTATTAATGCCGTATACAAAAAATATTAAAATAATAGTATTAATAGATTACTTAAAAAAATATTATATTAATTACGTAATTGTGATATAATTATAACATTATTTTTCTAATAATATTATTTATAATGTAAAAACAATAATATAATATTATTATCATTACACATTTTCTATCTGGGGGGGTATTACGAACTTGAATATTTTTTGGTGTTGCAAAACGATACCTTTGCAACACCTGAAAATTGTTTGGTGTTGCAAGTGCGCAACGGAAGAGCCAACGACAATTCACTCCACTAACCAGACGTTTTCAAGCAATAATATGTAATAAACATATGTTATTAATATTAATAAATACGCATGACCGTTGCCTTGGTGCCTTATTGGTGTTTGTATGCCTACAAAATTCATGTTTCACAGCCCAGCAAGAAAATACAGTCGGAGGAGGTTGGAGTACCGTTATTCCTTCTACTGGATGAACAATGAACATGAAATCAAAAAAATACAACACTACCACTAACACAGCTGCAGTTGCTTCAGTTGCTGACTTCCCAAATCTGGGGTCCAGATTTAAATGGACAAGGGGTACATGTAACGGACATGTCGTCATCGACATCGTACATCACTCACTACGTCTAGCACGGCTAATATGCTGGGTGTTAGTAATGGAAAATGTGTATATTATAGGTATGTATGAAATATATATTATGCTGACGTGATGTTTAGCTGCCATCGTGTTAATAACCCACCGGAACTCCTGGCGGAAAATAGATAGAGTCAGTAGTGGAGTCGATTGTCACAAGCAGAGTCAAGATTCAAGAGTCATAGTGGATGGTCGACAGTGAAAGTCGAGAGCTGACAACGACCTGAAGAGGACTTCTGGACGGCCAGCTTAACCCACATCGGATATCAGCGCCCACGACACGTCGACACCTCATGGCCCGATCGTTAACCCTCAGTTAAGCTAATTTATAAGTATATCTAATAACTATTATTTGATGTTCTTTATATTATAAGATTCTATAGTTAATAACAGTTACATATTTATATATGTTACGGTAAATGACGAAAAGTAATAATAATTTACGTAATTTACCGGTAAATATCGTTAATATCCATTTTTAATTTATATGAGTACATTTTTACGTCAATTACCGGGAATTTACGATAAAAAATTATACAAATGGTTATTGTTGTACTTGTATCATATATTATTATTAACTACTTATTTTCACATGGTAATGATCCATGGCATTTTGAATTACAAAGTTTGCCTGAAGAACGACAAGCACATTTATTATTTTTACATTTAGTTTTGCAGTGACATCGTTGGTACCCTTGAGTGCCTGAAATACTGCTCAAACCTGCTGCCTCTCGAAGAGTAAGCTCTTTTTCTTTGATGAACTTAGGTATGTCGAGAAGTTTTTCTTTACAAGGTACTAGCTCAGATCTTGTGTATCTATGTTGTAGGTGTCCATGTTCAGTAAATATATTAAAAGTATAACATTCATTTTTTGTAAATATTTGAATAATTTATATAAGGGTACTCACCTAATTTGTAAAGATCATTTTCGACATCTAAAACGACTGCTAATAAATTACGCGGAGCTCCGCGAGCACGATCTACATCTGGTATCGATACTCTAACGGTTGAACCTATTTCGAGTGGATCAAATCGAGATGATGGTGACTTTAACATCTTTTCTGCTTGTTTCTGCAAACATGAGACTGATTTTTTTCGTTCGTTCGTTATTTTGTTTTGTCGCTCGTTAACTAAAATATTTTAAATGTTTTTAATTATATTTAATGAGAAAAATTATACAAAAAACAGACCAAGTTTTGCTTCATCTTTAGTATAATTTTCACAGTATCCATCACTTAGACTTGAAATATTTCCAGTGTCTTCATCACTATTTTGTGGTAGAATTGATTCAATATCCTCCTCAGTACACAAAAATTCAATTTCATTTGTTGGAATATAAATTGAGGCTAATCCTACTTTTGCTGGACATCCGAACATGGCTTCATACGGTGATCTACCAATACCTATATAGTAATAATAATACATAATATTAATTAATAATAAAAATAATATTAATATAAAAATATTTATAATTATAGGTATACAAACCATGTATAGAAAATAAAATTAAAACTTGATTATAGTATAAATAGGTTAAGTTAATTATTACCTGAATGGTAATGTATTTTTTGAAATTGAATAAATTTCAAGCCATTTGGCCAATCCTTTGTATTATTTTGTGCCATCCAAGTAGCAAGCATATCTTCTACGTCTCTGTTTGCCCTTTCTATGGAACCTTGACTTTGGCTATGCCGAGGTTTTCCGTGGACGATTTTAACGTCACTCCACATTGAATGTAATTCAGTTATTATTGAGTTCACAAATTCACGCCCATTATAGCTCTTGACGACCACACAATATTATACATTCAATAATTGGTACAAGGCGGCTCCTATTTGACTTAATTTGCTTTGTTCTATTAGAATTTTAAAAAAATATCATAAATATATATTGACAAATAATAAATAATTAACATGACTAATGTCCAGTGGCGTGCCCAGGGGGGGAGGATAGGGGTTAAACCCCCCCCCCCCCATCGGATCAAGAAAATTATATAATAGTATTTTATATTACACGTCGTATTCACTTGTCATTCAATATTCATAATAGTTATGTTTTTTAAATTCTATGCTATACTGGTCATAATCACGAATTCACGATTTAAGATAGTACTATCTAAATTATTCTGTGGTAATACACAAATTCACTGATACGAATCGTTATCAGCAGCGGAACAACTCGCCACAGAATAAGTTAAATTTAGACGGCTTAAATTGTCTCTGACATGTGTGAGTTTCTTAGAGTGAGATATTATTATAATTATCATATCATTCATAATTATATTGATATTATCAATATAATTTTATCATATAGTTATATTCGTGTCTTCGTCATTAGTGCAAGGTGAATAATATTGTATTAAGTAATAAGTATTAATCCACCATTGAACCATTCCACCTTGATTTAGTTAGTACTTAGTGATTAGAGTTACTGTTTGCTATAGTAGTTGAAATGAGTGAATCTACAAAAAGATCACTTTTGAGTTATTTCAAAGTGGAACCTAAAAGATTGAAAACTTCTGGAGATGAAGATGATCCTCAAGAAGTGAGAATTTAATTTGAGTTTTAAAAATTTTTGGTGAGGTACCTAATTATTTAATTATGTATATATTATTTTATTGCTTCAGATACCTGAAAACCCACAACTACAGTGTAATTCAAAAAACAATATTTCCACTTCTAGTTCTAATTTAGTTTCTATAAATAATGTAAGTACCAAAGTTAAATATAAACAAATGTTATGAAAATAATAAAATAATATATTCATATAGCCATGTAGGTAATAGTAATCTATCTATCAGTAATATAACTAAAAACTATGCTAGGTATATTTTTATTATTTATGATTACACTAAATATTATTTATATTGTTTGTTTTAGACAATTTTAAATGAAGTTAGAACTGAATGTACAAATGAATTAAGTACAGAACAAATTGTTTGTTCTTATGATATTAGCTTATATGTTGGACCAAAAGCCAGGAAGGTAAAATTAATAATTAATAATAATAAATTAAATTTTTTTTTTTAATTAATGATTATAGTTTAATTTGAATTTGAGTGAAACTTTATAAAATAAAATAAAATTTTTATTGTTAGGTTAATATTAATAATATCCCTCAGTGTAGAACTAGATCAACCACTATGTTTTATGTTTTTACACATAAAACTAATTATGTTTCTGCTTCTCCTATCAATAGCAAATGATTTAAAAATTGATTTATTCAATTTTAATTCCATTGAATTATTTAATAATTGTGTAAACAAAATTGTTTGTATTTAAATATATTGTATTGTTTTATTATTATTGTATTATTACTGTGTTAATATTGTATTCTAACGTTCAGTTATGAACTATATTATTTTAAATAATTGTAATTGGATTGTAATTGGATTGTAATTTATTGTAATTGGAATGATTAGCAGCTTCTTCATATGATTGTATCTTATTTTTTGCTTTTAGTAAAACTATGTACTATACATTATATTTAAAATAACCTGTAAAATACACAAATTCACTGATCTTTGCTTTACATTTTTCACTCAAAACATTAGTAAATAAAAATGCATTTAAAAAAGAAATTTATGTAAGTGTAAAACTATAATATAAAATATTATTTTTAGATTGATTCAAAGACAAGATTTGAGTTGTTAAACAAAGAAGATTGGAATCCTAATTTCAGCTATAGATTTCCAACTTCTGGGAAAAGAAATTTAAGATTTCAATTTAATTGGTTAAACAGATGGAAATGGCTTGTTTATTCAAAAATAGAAGATGGTGTATACTGTAAAATATGTGTTTTATTTGGATACACAGAAGGTGGAAGAGGACATCAACAACTTGGGAAACTTGTACTTGTAAAGTTTAACAATTGGAAAAATTCATTTGAAAAATTTAATTCCCATGAGCATTCTGAATATCATAAAACTGCTTTAATGTGTGCTAATAATCTTATTGCGGTTTTTACTAATAAAAAACCTGCTGTGGATGTAATGACTGACAACAATTTAAAGACAACTATACAAAATAATAGAAATAAGATCAGACCGATTATTGAAACAATTATACTGTGTGGTCGCCAAGGAATTGCTATCAGAGGCCACAGAGATTCTGGAACAATTGATTTAACTGCTGAACCTACACAAAATGAGGGAAACTTTCGGGCCTTACTAAGGTATAGAGCTTTAGGTGGTGATACAAAATTGGCTGAACATTTAAATGATTGTGCTAAAAATGCAACATATCTCAGCGGTAAGATGCAAAATGAAATTATTCAAATATGTGGTCAAATAATCCAAAGTAAAATTGTAGACAAAGTGAATAAGTGCCAAAGTTTTTCAGTACTTGCTGATGAGACAACAGATGTTGCAGGCATTGAGCAACTATCTCTTTCTGTTAGATATTTTGATAAAGAAAAAAAACAAATTGTGGAAGAATTCTTAACATTTACCCCTGTACATGATGTTACTGGAAAAGGGTTAGCTAATAAGATAATACAAACCCTTGAAAGTTTATCGTTAAATTTAAGTTATTTAAAGGGACAAGGGTATAATGGCGCTGCTTCAATGAGTGGGAAGTTTAATGGGGTTCAAGCACACATATTTAAAAAATTCCCACTTGCCCCTTACATACACTGCAGTTCTCATAGTTTGAATTTAGCAATATCATTTGCTTGTAATGTTAAAGCTATACGAAACACCATGGGAACAATTCAAGAAGTTTGCACATTTTTTCGAACACCTAAAAGACAACATACTTTGACTGAATCTATCAAATTAAAACTACCTGAAGTAAAAGCAACTCGACTGAAAATTCTTTGTACAACTAGATGGGTTGAACGGCATGATTCAGTAATACTTTTAATTGAATTGTTTTCAGCAGTTAGTGATGCTCTTGAAAAGATTAGTGTATGGTTGGACATAGAAGCATCATCTAAAGCAAATAGACTTTTTGATGCCATAACAAAATCAGAATTTATAATATCTATTCATATTATTGGAAAAATATTTGCTATTAGTCTTCCTCTGAGCCGTCAATTGCAGACAGAGAATATTGATCTTGTTCAAGCTCTCCAATTCGCAAGTTGTGTTGAGAGTACAATAAATCCATACAGAGATAACGTAATTGAAGAGTTTTCAAAAGAATTTCTAAAAGTAAATAATTGGTGTAAGGAATTAAATTTAAACATCAGTTTTGATTTAACAAGAACACAAATACAATCTAACAAGCAAATGGGTTTAAATGAAAAATCTATTGAAGAATTTTATAGATTGACAGTTTTTATTCCTTTCTTAGATAGTTTTTTAACACAGCTTCATGACAGATTCTTACAACACAAAAATTTACTAAAAAACTTTAGTTGTCTTCTACCAGCGAAACTAAATTCATCAATTTTAAATGATGGAGAGGATGAAATAATAAACTTAATTAGGGCATATATGGTTGATATTGAAACTACTGAACTTGGAGCTATAGGAGAGTTGAAATTATAGAGAAAATATTGTACAAATCTCAAAAGTGAAAATGCAATCGACACATATCTTCAGTGTGATGAAAATGTTTTCCCCACAGTTCATAAACTTTTAAAATACCTTATAACCCTTCCTGTAACTACAGCATCAGGAGAAAGATCATTTTCTACTTTAAAGCGTTTAAAAACATACCTTAGAAATACAACATCAGAAAATAGATTGGATGGTTTGGCGCTTCTAAATATACACCAAGAAATTAAAGTTACATCTGAAAATGTTTTAAACTTATTATCAGCTAATGCCAGAAAATTAAACTTTAGACTAGATTAATTTTTTTCATCTTGTACATAAGATAATATTATAATTTATAACAAGCATATTTAAAAGTCTGACAATATTTTTTTTTTAATCAATAACAATGTATAACCATGTGATATACAGTTAAAATTTACTTTTGTTCTTGTGTAGTGCCTTATTAGTAGCTTATTATATTAGTATAATACTATAATATAATATAATATTATAGTACTTCGTTTCTGATAACCTACTTTTATTTTTTTTTTTTGCTCAGTACTTAAGTCTAGATTCTAGGACCTACAATAGTGATAATTCGGACCTTCTTTGAACCCCCCCCCATTTTGAAATCCTAGGCACGCCACTGAATGTGTATGTATTAAGTATTAACTGATTTTATATTACATGTTCATTATTCATAATGTAATTAACCAAACTAAGATAATATAAAGAAAAGATAATTATGCATTTTTACTAATTAAATAGGTTTATTTATTTACAATGCAACTATTCATATTTCTAAATCATAATCAACGTTGTTTTAAAATGTAATAAAAACAAAAATACACCATTGTATACATCGTAGTTTAAAGTTTTAGAAAAATATAAATTTATATACGTCTTTCAAAAATATATAAGTAAAATACTAAAATACTAAATGTTTAATGTATTAGATACTAGATAGTAGATAATGGAATAACTGATAAAGCCAAAATAAAAATTCACGCATGCGCAGTAGCTACATGCCCTCTTCATATGTTTGCTACATACTCGTTACACGTGAGGTATAGTCGTTGCTCTATCCATTGTATATGATCTAAGTTTTAAGGGTTCCTTATTATCACGAACTAAGATATATTATCACGAATGGATCATAGGAGGAAAAATGTCTCACTGTCCATGACGTCATTATGCGGTTTATCATTGTTGATAACAGTTGTAGACAAGCATATTATTATACAAAAC